TTTAAACAGACACATATTTAATGAAATGTTGAACTTGTAAGGTAATTCAAGCATAAAAGTAGATCCTCTTAGTCCTGTTTATGCCGGTTGGATTACTGTTTAATGACTTCCGAGAGAGCAACTTTCAACTCAAAATATATTTGTTATCACTTTGAATCAACAAAATTCTAATGAATACGTCCCTTTAAACACTTGATTGCCTCTTTTCCTAAAACTTGATTCTGAATCCACACGTTTACCTTGAATTATATCAAAAGTCCATGGTTTTGTGTTTTCTTTCTTCCCGATGGTCCTACAAGCGCTATCTGCAGGAGTTATCCCCCCTTACAAAAGCACGCGAAACCTCATAATCTTTCCTTGTGTTCAATAGCTAGGAAATACATTCATCTTCTGTGCATGGTTGTTGTAAATAGCCAAGGTCAAGGTTTACGCTCACTAAGACTTGGACAATAAACTTATTCGAAAGGAATCTTACTTAACTTAAACATAATTTTTTTCGCATGATTAGTTACTTTGATATGTTATGAAAATCCAGTGTAATTAAAAAAAATTCAACCTATGGATCGTACTTTTCGCAAATGAGAAATGGTCTAGTCTGGGATAACGAGGAGTTGGTGTACTCACCTGAGTATCAAGGAGCTGGTGTACTCACGTGAGTATCAAGGAGCTGGTAAGAATCATAACACACACCCATGGGGATTTATCTTGACCAGTTCCGAGACCATGGCCTAGATTTTCGAAGCTCTCTTAGCCCTAAGATAGTCGTAAGTTAATGTTAATGTATGGCACTTACGATTATCTTAGCGCTAAGAGAGCTTCGAAAATCTAGTCCCATATATTTAAGTATGCAGTAAATGCTAGGGGAAAGTCCCAATTTGAATATTCCCAATCCCAATACCTAAGAATTTACATAATAAAAAACATTTAAAAAATATAATGAACAAGATGACATTTTTCCCCCAACATCCCTCCAAAACCCACTTGATTGACATCCTAGAGAAATCCCTGACAATTCATGTTAAACATTTTGTGACAAAATTTTAGTTAAGTATTGTCCCAATGCCTGTAACTTTTTCACCCATGGTGGAACAAGCCCCCTTAAGAACCCCTCTTTACCTCTGAAAAACATGCAAATAAAATCATTTGAATTTATTCATCTCGACACATGGATTAGCAAGGGAGGTCATTGAGTGCATGTTTAAAAATGTTCAAGTTTCTTTGAACATTCAGCTACAGGGCTCTAGAGTGACAAGCCCTCTGTATTCCAGATGTCATATAGTTCGTGGTTTATGAACCTGTCGCATGTTTCTTTGCGAGTCATGTGAGTGCAAAGGCATAACTTATTGTTATTTGTGTCGTGAGTTAGAGTGATACTCTTGACACAGTAAATTTCATTGGGTAGGATATTTTTTGTCGCTTTGAGAAGATCATAATTCATATTTTATGTTGGATTTAGACATCTGCATGTTATAGAGTAAGTAAATGAAAAGTTGATTGAGCTGTGAATCTGCTACCTCTTGTCTATCATAACCAGTTCTCATGCAGACTCTCTACCCATGGTCTAGAGAAACTTTCTGACAAGCATATGTGGTCTTTCATTGATTAAACTTTCCTCACACTTTAAGAGCCATTTTTAATTAACTGATTGTGTACATTGGTGCTTAAGATAGTGTCTGAACATCACTTGCAAATCTGGAAGGGCATATGTGTTTTTACCAAGAAGTTAAAAAATTTGAAGGTTTAAATATAAGGCTATCCATATTTTTATCTTTGTTTCCCATCTTCTGCACACCAGTGTGAAATAATAAAAACGTTTTCTTATCTCAATATTCCCCACTGCTGAGGAAATTTATGTCCCTGTGTGATAAAAATAATCTTAACCTTGCACACTCTTACAAATCAGGTTATCCTGATCATTCTTCATATACATTATTGGGGTGGTGGGGTAGCCTAGTGGTTAAGACCTTCGCTCGTCACGCCGAAGACCCGGGTTCGATTCTCCACATGGGTACAATGTGTGAAGCCCATTTCTGATGTCCCCCGCCGTATTGCTGGAATATTGCTAAAAGCGGCCTAAAACATACTCACTCACGCACTCATATACATTATTATAAAATTGTTTCTGAAGCAAAGCGACTCAATCGGGAATTAATAACATCATAAATTAATTTAAAGACTTATCACATTATACAATATTTTATTTGCCTGCCTGCTACCCTTGGTGGTTGGGGTTGGATATGAGAATCACATTATATAAATATGGAAGGCGTAACAGTTCTCATAGTGTCTTTAAATCTTCGGAAAGCTATATTAACCCAACTAGCCCGTAACAGGAAAATGTCCAAATGTTACAAATATTGATATTGGTGTGTGTGTGTGTGTGTGTGTGTGTGCGTGCGTGCGATGCGTGCGTGCACCGTGCACACGCACACATACTTATGTGTGTTAGCACGTGTGTGTGAGAATACAAGAGGGAAACAACAAAAAGTGGATGTCAAGTCTGTGTCTAAATAACAATGTCTTATATTTTTTGTTTGGCGGTAAATACAACATGTAGGAACAATGTGTGCAGTTTGTAGACGTTGCACAGAGTAGCGATATGAATCCGTCATCTATGACAGTCATCTATACACCTGATAATTGGGCAGGAATTGTCCCCTAACAACTGTGTTATATTTTCCACAAGTGTCCTCAGCTGATTCAGATCATTTCTGGTAAAAAGATTTAGAGATTTTTAAGCTTTAGCTTCAACGTTTCTGACCATCTAGTCAGCCTTCAGTCTCATTCTCGATGAGTGATTGTGAGGTCAAACCCAATGAACACCCCAAACCTGAAACTTGGCCATTAGTCCGAAGAAAAATTAAAATTCTGTTTAGTCCAGAAAGCTCCTCCAATAACATCCATTCTTAAACTCTTATTTTCTATTGAAAGGTTTGTGATAGCCGACGTTTGGGAACGGATTCACCCCTTTAGTCTGCACCATATTCCCCCTCATGTCTTTGTGGTAAACATCGTCTGCGTATGTCACTTTGGGCTTTCCTCCCACATGGAGCAGACTAGTCGTGATATAACTGCGTTATCCCCACTTGCCCAACAACCTGTTCTTTTAATAACCTTATTTGCGACTTGTTGACAATTATGATTGTACATCATTCACAAATAGCAGAGATGGCGTTCTGTTTCAGTGATGATTATGAGGTTTTGAAAGTAACTTCAAAATAATGGGTAATTTTTTTCACACCTTGTGTGAATGGTTTTATAAAATAATTTTATTGTTCAAACTGTATTGCCTATACAAATGTCCCTTTGTGTTAAGTGTATCACTTATAGCAGAATAGTTACCCCATTGATCAGTAACTGATAGTGCAGTGTCACACACATGTATCTCGCTGTTACCAAAACATGGTATATCTTGTGTATTCACTGGCTATTGCTGAACTAAATACATATGAAACAATTGGTAGTTGCCATGGCAACGGTAAACAAATCTTGTGTGCCTCTATGATATGAGGCTATAAACATTGTTGATATTTGGATAAATAATGGTGATATTTCTCAGCTCATTGAAATATGTTCCATTGATTTGAGAACAGTGTAAATATTTAATAAGTTTAATGACAACAGTGTAACACAACCTGGGACTGTTTGGTATTTAGTTTGTTTCTTTCAGACTTTTATATTGAATATTCTTTCTTGTAGTATTGAATTCATTATTGATTTTATGTACCGTGATAACAATCATGTTTGGGTTATGTTTGCAAGATAGAAATATGTCCTTCATAAATTATGGTCTGAGGATCACGGATGGTATGAATAATGCATATTTTCGGCTCGCATACCCATAAAGAGACAATAAAATTTTACATGATATCTGAATACAAGCTGATGTTTCGTGTCAGCATAAACAAATACCTGTCAAAGTAAACAGATCACTTTCCTTTCCATCCAAAATTAATGTAAATGATCATTATGTGTAATGTACACCTTGCTGGCCGCTGTACAACATGTAGGAATAACATGATTTTGAAAAAAAGAATTAATTGACCTTCATTGTAGTGATTGATATGTGCATTTCAATTCATGTTCTTATTTGTAAGTGTTTTAAGTGTTGCTATGACGATTTAAAGATTTTGTGCATTCATTTTGTTTAGAAAATATGCTCAGGTCACATTTGTGATGAACATATGCGAACACTTTTGAAAAAGAAGTGAGTCATATTTAGGAATTGAAGAAAAAGATTAAGTATCTTATGATTTATTCACATTTTTAGATTCGAATGTGTACTGGCTATTCTACTATATTTTGAGCATAGATGATCGAGGATTTAATTCCCTAACAATATGCATTATGTTATTGGTCCACTAAAACAGTTTTAAATAACATTTAACAAAACCTGTCCACAATATGATTATCTTTGTAGTGGTCACATGGTACTTCTGTGGACCTAGATACGATAGTAGAATGGCTCATATAACTTATGCCACACATTTGTCCTCAGAAGTGTTACACATGTCCTCAGAAGTGTTACACATTTGTCCTCAGAAGTGTTACACATTTGTCCTCAGAAGTGTTACACATTTGTCCTCAGAAGTGTTACACATTTGTCCTCAGAAGTGTTACACATGTCCTCAGAAGTATAACACATTTGTCCTCAGAAGTGTTACACTTGTCCTCAGAAGTGTTACACATGTCCTTAGAAGTATAACACATTTGTCCTCAGAAGTGTTACACATTTGTCCTCAGAAGTGTTACACATTTGTCCTCAGAAGTGTTACACATGTCCTCAGAAGTGTTACACATGTCCTCATCTTATTTGTTTGTAATTTAGAAGGTTTGAATCCAATTATGAGAACAATTTATATGCGTACAATTCTCATGCATTGAAATTGTGCAGTACTTTAAAAGATATGAAAATCACTGTATACACTTCAGCAACTGGAGAAAAAACAAGTCTAACTGAGATGTGAACTGATGACTTATGTGAGAGCTATCTGTTGCAGGTATCGCTCCCCTCAACCAGGCTGCACCAATCAGCATCCGCCATAACGACAGTGCCAAGGCTCAAATTGGCAGTGAGGCCATCAACGGGGCTGCCCCGCCCAGCAACCCTCTCTTCCGACACAGTGTGTGCAAGTGGCCAGGTTGTGACACACCTTGTGACGACTACCATGCATTTACGAAGTGAGTGGAACATTGTTGTACAAGATAGACTTTTAACATTAGCTTTGTTGTACAACAGGCAGCTCTGTGTGGAGTGGAACATTGTTGTACAAGATAAACTTGTAGCATAGTTTTGTTGTACAACAAGCATGTTCTGCAGTAATACCATACTAGCAGTCACATAGTTTGTAATGATTTTATGTGACAGGCATCAGGCTAGTAGTCACATAGTTTGTAATGATGTTATGTGACAGGCATCAGGCTAGTAGTCACATAGTTTGTAATGATGTTATGTGACAGGCATCAGGCTAGTAGTCACATAGTTTGTAATGATGTTATGTGACAGGCATCAGGCTAGTAGTCACATAGTTTGTAATGATGTTATGTGACAGGCATCAGGCTAGTAGTCACATAGTTTGTAATGATTTTATGTGACAGGCATCAGGCTAGTAGTCACATAGTTTGTAATGATGTTATGTGACAGGCATCAGGCTAGTAGTCACATGTACTCATTGAGCAGAACATGGTTTTGCAACAGTGTGAGAAGAACGCTGTGATGTAAATTGTGTTAGTACATTATCATGATACTTACAAGTATTAGGAAAGTCCCAAGAACATTATTCTGCAACAAAAGAGGGTAATAACTGTTTTGCATTTGAGATTGAAAACCAGTTTGATGGCTGCAACTGGCTTTTCACCAGGTGAGCTATAGTGCCATTGCACTCATTGTTTATTTAAGATGGTTGTCTGCAGCTAAATGTGTCTTGTATGAAAGGATGGAATTCAGACATAAAGACTATCTCAAAATATTAGCTGCAAGAGATCATCAGAGCAGTCTAGAATGAATGATCAGCTGATCCTACCACCTCTCTTTGCACAGCCATGAAGTAGTTCACAATTACAATATCAGGCGATCCAATGATCCATGTGATAACTGGATCTCAAAACATGTATTTCAGAACATATATATCATTGTTTAGAGGACTATATATACTACCATGAGCCAACTGATGCTGATGAGAGGTAAGGCTGTGCTGGTTAACCATCTCTAGGGGTCATAGTAGCCTGTGCCATCTTGGGGTACGTGGAACACGCACTGTCATTGGTGGGACCAGCAGGTGCTTGCATCTAGGAAGTTAGTGAAGGGAAGATGGATTGAAAAAGATCTCCCAGTTATTATCTTGTAAAATATTGATGTGGGTCTTTCAAGAAGTCATCGATGTTTAGAAAATGTACCAGCCAAGGTGGCAGCCATTTTTCACATACAGACAGGAAGTGGATCGTGTTTTGCATGCTACCACTATGACAGCTGGTGTTTGAAGCGTTGTTTGTGCTGGTGTATTTATTAGCTACATTTGGCACTGAATGGGCAAGTAAAATGCATACTTTGGATAATTTGAGAAGAACGATTCATCAAAGGTTGTCCTTTAAGCTTGTGTTTCACAGTTTCACCTTCATTATTGACTGTACTCTTAGAAAACACATATTGCGGGTTTTTACAATAATTGGCAAAAGTACGTAACCAAGAAAACCAATAATATGATGATATATCTATTTCAACTAAAATTTGAACATTCAAGGGAGATAATTGACTCAGTATACAAAAATCAAGTCCTCACTTACTCACTCACTCACTCCTGGTTTACTGCTAGTCTTTGACCCGAGAGAAAATTTACTCCGTATACAAAAACCAAGTACTCTCACTCACTCACTCACTCGTCTTTGACCCGAGAGACCCCTAAAATCTATAATTTGGGGAATGGCCAGACTTTCTTTTCAATTTGAAGGGGTTGAAGCAATTGTGTCTTCTGAGTCCATTATGGGAGGGGTGGTGGGGTTGCCTTGTGGTTAAAGCATTGGCTTACACAGAAGACCCGCATTCGATTCCCCACATGGGTACAATGTGTGAAGCCCATTTCTGCTGTCCCCTGCCATGAGTATTGCTGGAATATTGCTAAAAGCAGCATAAAACCATACTCACCCAAAATTATGGCAGTTAAGTGTTGTAAAGAATACAATGCTCCGAACAAACAAGGTTGGTTTAGAAGAGTATGTAATTTCATCGTACATTAGGGTGCACTTGGGCAAAGTCACCTCAAATGTCAGAATTTGCTGTGCAGAGTTGCTTACCATAATCATTTCTGGATCTGCTAAAGTCCAAATCCAGATACCAAAATATAATTTCACCAGGTTCCATTGGTGATGCTCTAGTTTTGATTTTCTCTTAGTTGACACCATATTGTATGTTTTGTATTTTGTTTACGGCAGACACTTGAACAGTGAGCATGTGTTGGATGATAGAAGCACTGCACAGGCGAGAGTGCAGATGCAGGTCGTCAGCCAGCTGGAAATACAGGTAGGTCCCCTCACACAATATCAAGCAGAGACTCATGGTGTCCAACACTTATAATGGCCTCTACTGTCATGTTGATAAATATGACATTGAACACAGACAAACATGCATGCATCTCTCTCTCTCTCTCTCTCTCTCTCTCTCTCTCTCTCTCTCTCTCTCTCTCTCTCTCTCTCTCTCTCTCTCTCTCTCTCTCTCTCTCTCTCTCTCTCTCTCTCTCTCTCTCTCTCTCTCTCTCTCTCTCTCTCTCTCAGATTGATGCTCATGCTGTTTATCACTGGGTTGTCTGTTCCAGACTTCATTATTTACAGACGGCCTCCAGCTATATGGCGGAGTGCGGCGTCAAACTAAACTCACTCACTCACTGTAACATGCCAATACGTACAGTCATCTTTCCTGAAATATCTCGGAATATCAGCCAAGAATTTATTGCAAGGAGCAATAAAGTGGCAATAATTGGCTCCATATTTACAAAGAGCTGACACTGACACCAAGATAACAAGTTGTACATGGGGAAATAGCACTTGAAAAACATGCATTATATGCAAATATAGCTGTCAGTAGCTGTCCTTGCCTAACGCTCAGAGCTGGTACTCACTGTCTTAACCAACAAGTAGGAGTCAACTATGTAAGGCTAAAAGGATTAATCAAGTGAACATTTACTACCTTAATGTGACCGCCCCACTCATATTACATGGTGTGCTGGTGCAGTGACTTTCATGGGCCAATAGGGCTTGATGTTGATGGAGGGGAACTATACAGGGATATATACAGCACTAAATGCTGTACAGAGAGGATATAAAACTTATATCACTGTCAGTTCTTCTGCCTTGTTTCACTTTGTAGTGGAATACATAATTGAACAAAAGAAATTTGATGTACAAATGTCACAGGTTATATTGTCTCTTGACTTCCTTCATTTTAGTTTAAGAATAAAAACTTGATTTTGCATTTTTTAAGCAAATAGTTGGCTGTTAGGTCTGACAGTGATTATAGCCAGAGGAGAATATTATGACATGCCATTGCTACCATCTTCCTGAATTTGTCGCTCATTGTTGTGTGTAGTGCAAGTTTTAATAAATTAACTTGTATATGAAGTCCTAGGTTTGAAGATACATAATATCAGTCTCATTATAAGACAGGTTTATGTCACCTAATGTGCTATTAAAAGTGTTGCTTGGAAATCTCTTGTATTCATATTGGAAACTTTTTCATTCTGTTTAAGTACAGTCATCCCTCACAATAACGCTGTTCGCGATACCGCGGATTCGGTAAAACCGCGGGGTAATCCGTGGCTCCATAAAAAAGGTTGCCCAGCGATCACACAACTTCACGTCATCGAAAATAGCACAACAAATCCGCTGTTGAGCTCTGGTTAATCACGTTATAATCTAGTGAAATTCAGATGTTTCAAACATGCAGGGTTTTCTCAATAATAATCTGATGAACAGCAAAACATCGTAATAACTTAGAAAAGACAACTTGCCATCAGCCGAATACTTACAATGTTTGCTGTGATGCAACACATCGTGTTATTGCGCGGGTAAACACCGCCATCCGAGAACGTATAATGTCAGAAAACACATTTTATTTAATTAAATTCAATCCCATTTTCATTGATTAAAACTGTTTACAGTAACAACGGAGAAACCGCGGAGTGAAATGGCATTACCCCATTCCATACAACTTCTGCTTACCACATTCGTGAGGGTCCGTTTTTCGCGCCTACTGCGATAGCACCAATTTCACATTTTGTCTCAGCAATCATGAACAGATTACAGCCTCGTCATCCATGGACCCCATCCATGGAGTTATTAACTCATTGAAGTCATATTTGTCAATTTATTGCCAACATTTTGTTTTTACGTACCGCGGGAAGTCAGCGGTGACTTGTCAAACTGTCTCTTACGTAAAATGTATCCAGCCAGGTAACCCAAAGTGCTCAGCCTATGTTAATTATTTTGTTAAATATGTTCGTAGAAAACATGCATTATATTTATACGATGGCAATATATAATATCTCTGTTAAAATAACTGCTTAAGATATAAAATTATTCTGATAATGGAATAGAAATTTTTTGATGTTATGTTATCAGATCGTTTTTAACTGAATCACCGGTACATTGGACCAAAACATCTGTGCACCACTGATTGCTATTTCCGGCTTAGTTGAATAACAGGTAGCATAACAGGAACAACAATGACCATGTCTAGTGATGTTTGATTGCAAGGTTCCTGTACATACATCTATTATTTTCATTTACAAAGTTTTTGGTTTTTTTTACCTCCAACAATACGAAATAGTTTCGACTGGGCACAATACACGAAGTAGTAGTTTTGTTTCCATGGAAAATACAATTTTACTTGGCCTTTGTTCCACGTTATGTAATAGTTACTATAACGCGGGTGTCTAAGAAAGCGGGGTCATCCATGGACCCCAAGACCCGCATTATGTCGAGGGATGACTGTATGTATGAAGTAGATATTTTGTTTACTTACCTGGAATATTTTGTGGGGGTTTTGTGTCTGTGCCTTTTGTTCTTTTTCTGACTAAGTAGAATACAGACAGAGTTTGATTATCCAAAGAGACATAGTTTATTAATCAAAATAGATATATATTTTTAGAAATAATATTGTGTCAGTAACAACATAATTCTGGAGGGGAGGGGTTTCATACTAATCACAATAATTAGTTTCCTTTAAATGTTACATTCTCGCAACTGCATCCAAAATTTTTGAAGGGCAGAATGGTAGGCAGATGCAAGATGTTGCCAAAGCATAAATGTGTCGACAATCTTCTGCCACTTTAGTTGGTGTGTCAAAACCACAGAAAATGTTGACATTTTGAAGTTTAGATAAAAGTATTTTGGCTGTCACATGCCAATGCTCCCATGACACGAGAAGATATTACAAATTTCTATGCTGTGTATCTAATATATTTGAAAGTGACAGTTTTTGGTATGTCTATTTTTGTAGATAAACATGAAATTGGTAATGAAAATGCTGTGTGTCAAACAGGGCTTGGCATGCCTAGTTTGCATATGGTAAACTTTGGTGGCGTTGGTCTTGACCTTACACGCAGACAGTTTGAGCCAGGTATTATGCCGTTTATGCGTTTTTATTGTTCCTGGCAAATGTCATTAACGAAATCCTTTTCTGCATCTGATGAGAATATTATTTTATGTTAGGATTAAACTACAGAGATAGTTGATGAACATGAAGACATTATCTGGCCTCTTTATGCAGGGCTTGTCAAGTGCTGACTTGCAGTCATTTGAATATTCAAAGCAGGTTCAACCAATGGGATGCCTTACTTTTGGTTCATCATAACAAGCACATGCATATCTATGTGGTTATTGCAACCATAGTATGAGTCTTTTATTTCCTCAAATTTTGACATTACCATGAAGTTTTCAGCAGTATTACATTTTACTGTGTTTAAGAGTTAATTGCAGCAGGTCTAGCTTCGTTAGTCTTCATTAATTAATAATACCAAAACCTCTGCAGAAGTGTTCTTCTGAAACTAGTAGCCTTTGTACCAAACTGTTTCATTACATGGCACATATACTGAAGGAAACAAAATAAGGGATCACATGAAAGGACAAGTGTTCCTTCTTCTTTTCCCCAAGGTTTCTTCACAAGCTTTGTATTGCATAGTTTTTTAAGGGGCTTTCATGTGATCCCTTATTTTTCCCTCAGTACATTTTTCAAAACCACACTGTCAGAAAAGAAGAAGTTGTTTGTTTGAATATATAATAGCTTTCCTGCACCTTGAATCTCCTATGAAGAATCCCTACTTTTATTAAGGGTAATGCCATGTTTGTGAAAATTTGGGTCTTCAGATTTGTGGCATGAGATGTATTTGGTGTTGACATGTACTTCTGGGTGCCGTTGTACAAAGCCATCTTAGTGATAAGGTGACCGTAACTCCCTTTTTAACAAAGACTTAAGGTAATCTTAGCACTGAGGTTGTTTTGTACAACACCACCCAGATCTTTATGTATGATGTTGCTTTGTTGCAGTTGTCCCGAGAGAAAGAGATGTTACAGGCAATGATGCAGCATCTCCACATGAAGCCTCCCCAGCAACGTCAGCATTCGCCGCAGCCCCCTCCACAACCATCGCAACCACAGCTGATACCACAGGAAGTGAAGCCTGAGCCTATCACACTGAATGTAAAGCACAAATAATGCATTCCACTTGTGGCTACTCACTGTTTCTTGATAATCAGGCAGTGCAACTACTTGTCACAATGTATACATTTCTCTTTAATGATATTGTTATTTACTTGGTGCTGAACAATGCACGTCTCCATAGAAACACTTTCAGACAGGGCAATACGATTTATATCATGATGTCTCTTTGTAGCAGCATTCATGTTTCTCCTCAGTAGTGATTGGATAGTAATGCTGTGGTACAGTACTCTTTGTTGGAGCCATATTTCGTGTTGATGGTAGTGACTGGTTTAAACCTTGTTTCATCTCTGCTGTCAGGATATTTCCTCACTAACTGTATTTGAACATATACAAAGATCAGCATGCTAGGGTCACTGTGACTGGTATTTGACTTGATCCCAGTGGCAGGATAATTGAGGAAATTGATGTTTTATGGGAACATGTGGCCGACAAACATATTTGTACTTCTTGCTGTGATGTGTTTACTGTGAAGTTTTAAGTTCTGTCCTGTGAATTAAGTAAAATTTATATTGATCTTTGAATGAATATATATTTGCAAGTTTATTTTTTGATTTTCTTTCTTTTCTTTTTTGGTTCAAGATATATCTTAAGCTCTGTAAACCTCTTCTTCATCTCTGAAACTTTGCATGAAAATTAATGTTTTCAGAAAATAATAACCATCTTGTGCACTTTCCAGACACCCACCATCATGCCCAAACTCGCTTCAATTCCTCTCACAACGGCACCACCTCACCCAGCCGTAACCGTAGTGACGTCACCAGTGGTTGCCATGACACCAACACTGACTCCAAGCTCTCAGCTTCCTACTGTGTCGCAAGCACCTGCTACGCCTCAGTCGACACCTACTGGTGCAGGGACGATTAGGCGAAGAGTTTCAGACAAGTGCAATCTTCCCATATCAGCAGGTACACAAGATGTTGTATTTTCTCCTGAAAAGTGTTTGCATTCTTCCAAATAACAAAACAAAAACAGAAACAAAGCCAAAAAAAATCAAAAACTTTGAATAAATGATCCCAGGCCACATGTGTCATCTGAGAATGATTGATGTGTCTTTTAATTTTTAAGGGGCGTTGTGGCTTTGTGGTTCAAGTGTTTTCTCAAGACCCATGTTCAATTCCCTACATTAGGACATTTCCAGTATCCATGGTTTTGATATAACCAAAATATCGCTAAAATTGGTATAAAATCCAATTTACTCGCCCCATATCAATTAAGAATTGTTTTGGTCAGATCTAATCATGTGATATTTTGCGCTTGTCAATTTTGTGAGAACTATATTTTCAGAAATCCAAAGAAATCGAGACTTCTACAAGAACACGGATGTAAGGCCTCCATTTACTTATGCGTCACTGATCAGACAGGTAAGATTGACCAGATATTCTTGAGGGATATAATCCCTCAAATAATTAAGTCATTCATGTGTACAGGGCTTCATCACATGATGATCTAAGGGAAGTAACTCTGATATCACTTTCAAATTAAGAAACAGCTTAAATGTTTATTCAGTGCAATTCAAAACGTTTTATCGTAGAAAACCAACTATCACACATAATCAAGTACATTTTATACATATTTACAGGTTGTTTCTGCTTCTTTTCTTGTAAAGGATCTGGCAGAGAATTAGTATTTGTCTCACTTGGATGGGTTTTTCCGCAGGCTATCATTGAGTCTCCGCACCGTCAGCTGACACTGAATGAGATCTACCAGTGGTTTCAGAACACGTTTGCATACTTCCGACGTAATGAGGCCACTTGGAAGGTAGGCACTGGCCCTCTTCAGAAAACAATTCACCAGGAATATGGAGATCAAACATCAGCTGACACAAATTGATATTTGTCAACACATGAATGAGGCATACAAATGCCTTATGCAGATATTGTGCATTCTTTGCATGTAACATCATAGTACCTTTTGGACGAAATATTATCATTATATATAAAATATTGCTTTTTTGAAATTTTGTCTTTGGGCTTAACATCTTTCTTGTGTGTTACGATGGTTACGATATATTTTTTAAATGGAAGGAAGGAATTTAATGACTTGACATTTTATATTTTTTATAATTATGGTGGTAGTGTTGATTTATATGCAAATTTCCATCCATACATGCATTTTCTGTTGATATTGTTCAGCAGGTTTTCTTTAAAAATGTTCACATTTGTTTCTCAAAGAAATTTTGTAGGAATACCTTGACATTGTCGTAGCAACTTCTGGGAAGAACAATATCCTTTCTTGTTGTGTCTACTGACATTATTTTTATATAAGGCTCAAACAAATATCAAGTCCTATATCGAATATTATCTCAACTTCTGGGTAAAAAATGTGAAGCTAGTAGATACAGCATTTTTTTTATTTTCATTTTTTAGTTCTATATACCATTGTTTAGTTTTAGAACCCACTAAGTATAGAAAGCTGTGTCCTTTAGTTGCAGTGCTCCTAGCCTAGATGTATATCATCCTGTTTCCATAGAAACACATCAACTCAGAACTATATACTGCTCAAAAGCATGTGAGGCTATGTATTATTATCCATATCATGTATGTGATACAGGTTGATTATCACATGGTAACTGCTGTCAAAGATCATATGAATATACACACCTGATGATTTCAGCTTGCTGGATAGTTTATGGTAAAAAAACAACCCGATATTGCTATGAATTTGAACATAGTGTTGTGTTACTCATTTGTCACATAGTTCATAATGAGTTTTCATTTAAATTTTCTTGCATTCTTCTGAGCAGTTTTTTACACATTAATATATGATTCTACACAAGTGTAGGGGAAATAACTCTTGGTAAAAACTTAACCTTGGTTTAATTCTAAATTGTTTCTTTTTCTGAGGAATTTGTTTCAATATTTCTAATCAGAACTACAATAAACTTTACTTTAGCAAAATATATTATTTGTAATCGTCATTACTAGAATACTTACATCCATATTTACTATTGGAGCTGTCTGAAATTGAAATACCTGATTGTTGGTTATAAGTAGTGTAATGTATATACAAACGCCATCCCTACCATGTGTCTACTTAGTGGAGCACTGTGCCATTCATTAATGTCAATAGGCCGAGCATGGAGCCCATGGGCAGATCTCCCAACACCCCAGTTCTTGATATCAGTTTGATTTCTCTGAAAGAGGCTTCCTTACACAGATGGAATCAACAAACACTAAAACTGAATGAAAAATATCCTAGTATCACAAAACCTGGAGAAATAATTTTGCTTTTACTTGAGAAAATTTGAACTAGAAATTTATAATTAATTATCTAATCATTCCATTCTAATTATAACTGCTTTTGGAATAAACAGATTATTAAGATCCTCTTTCACTGAAAGGTAGTAGAACCAAGACCACATGAAATCTGTAAAAAAATATCCTGTTCTTAATAGGCCCAGATTATTTCAACACCTTTAAGTATCTATCAATCATCATCTTTTTTGTATTTTTAATCTCTCTATTTGTTTCTGACTTAAAGTCACCAATATTGATGTGCATGTGATATCCAGCCCTACACCTGCTTTAGTCAGCCGGGACATACTCCCAACTTATATTACCTCATAGTTATGTAGACTTTATATCCAGTTATGATTTCTTTAGATTTGTTAGAACTTAATCAAGGAGGATGCCTTGGAATGTTAAGAATTTGGACAATATTTCAACAGAAATGTGTTCATTTAAGTGCATTCTAATTTCCATTCTTCACATCTAAAAAATGTATTCAACATTTCCTTGTTTTTAAACCCAGAACATCTTTTTGGCTTAGTTTTATGCAATCACTTTGAGTAAATAACACATTGGAGCAAAATTGAAAAAATTTTAACGAAAACAATACCTAACCCAAACAGTTACTTCATATCTTAACAGAAAAATTGAAAGTGTGTATATGATTTCCGCCATGCCGCTAGAAGAACGAAGCATGTGTAGGGTATCGGAGCATCCCACCTTTGGTTGTAGTTGACCTACATGTAGTAAAAGGATTTCTTTATGTTTCTGTGTAGAATGCTGTGCGCCACAACCTTAGTCTTCACAAATGTTTTATGAGAGTTGAGAATGTTAAAGGCGCTGTTTGGACAGTGGACGAGGTAGAATTCTACAAACGGAGACCTCAAAAATTGAGCGGGTAGGTTGCAAAATGCTACCTTTGTTTTTTTATGCTTTTATTCTCCTAAACTGAAGGGTTCTTGCTTGACAGGTTGCCATTCTGCTGCTGATGAGATGTGAACTGTTTTTACAGTTCACTGAAAATTAGTTCTTTTCATGTTATGAGGGTTTGTTGAATCAGTGAAAGTTTTCACTGCGTGATGGCATGAGCGGGCAGCCCTGTCACCGAGAAATCTTCTTGTCAATCAAGGCCAATCTTTCCTTTTTGCGCTAACATTTTCAAACTTGGACTACCTTTCTCTCCTCCTCTGTTTGTTGCACAGAATGCTATTCGCACCAACTTGTCCCTGCATAAATGCTTTGTAAGATATGAGGATGATTTTGGATCTTTTTGGATGGTGGATGACTTTGAGTTTATAAGAAGGCGGCATTTGACACGAGGAAGGCCCCGAAAGTATCACGAAAATGAATCATCTGCACAGTAAGCACCTTTCTTGTGTCTGCAACCCGTCCGTCCGTCTGTACGTACATGCGTGGACCTGACCGGCCTCTAGATGGCGCCAGTGTAGAAAGAGCACTCTGTGTCAACCGAGGCCAGACGTATGATGCAGTAGATAGCCCTTTAGACCAGCTACCTTCTTTCTGCTTTCCCTGCTTGAACCCCAGCTTGCGTCATCTTGTTTCCTTCGTAGACAGAGAATGCCCTGGTTAGTATTCTCATACCGGGCTGCATGTGTTTTCTATCTAGACTAGGAAGAGTATTATGGCAGTCCAGCTGTCTGTTTGTTCCTGTCTAGCAGCCAGGCAATCGCTGACAATGTTTGTATTTAGTTAGCTGCCGCTATCTTGAGAAGCCATGTTATAGAAGTGTTTAAACATAAATGTATTCATTGAGGAAGGGTTTGCCCACTTTTCATATGAATTGTGGATGAATAAATAATAATTGGAGAAACCGTTCAGAGATTGTTCAAAATTTGACTTGAGAGTTAATAAATGTCATTCAAAAACTGCATGTTAGAGTTGATATTGTTTCACATCATATCAAAAGAAGAGAAAATTTGTTTGCTTTACTACCGGTACATGTGTGTCAGATAAGTGCAGCAGTAAGAAATATCCAGATGTGTCATTCATTGTGGGTAATATTCTATCAGTGTCTGTCTGCCCAGTAGTCAGTGTGTGAGCTCAATAGAGAAACCCTGAAATATATAATACTATTCCAGGGTTAGTCATCTTTGGATATATTGCTCTAAAATACGTTCCAACACAGTTGTTTTCTACTTTGATGTGTTGTCCCATTGAATATCTTATAAAGTATCAGTAATCGTTTTGTAGAACCTCGGGAAACACTGAGTATTTATGTTGGTCCCATCAACTTCTACACAACAGTGTTTGACTGTAGTTCTAAACAATAGCTGTCCCAATGTTATCTTAAACAATTTCCCCTCTAAACATGGTTGTGAAAGCAAACAAGTTTCTGATAGAATTGCGAGTGTAAGACATACTAGAATAGTGAAGTCATGCATGTGGCAGCCTTGCTGGCAGACAACTGGTAAGTGGTCAGCTGTGTTAGATACAAACCAGGGTGTGATACTCATCATATTCACCACTTGTGTGACAGGTTGGTACATTGGATATCATACACCTCCATATTTGACCTAATCAGTTGTCTCCCTTTGTGTGTAATATGCCATGGACAGGTTTGATATTGTGAAAAATAGCAGAAAAAAAGGGTTTCACATTGTCTACTATGTAGCAAGTGAGTTATATAACAGCCAAATTCTGGTGCTGTAGTTAATGTGTCATTACATTGGAAGAATACCTGAAGTTGTATGAAACAATTAAGTGTTCTATAATCCTTTTAAGTAGCATACATTGAGGAGGTTTTGTGAAAAAGGTGATTAAAGTGAAAGAAATGTGCATAAGAGCTCTAATAAAATTTATTGAAGGGTTAGGTCAAATATGGACACATATGCGTATTATATGATTTACATTGTAAGTGAAACAAGACAAGAAGTAGTTAGTAGCAGTTGTGAAGTTTGACTTAGTGTTCGAGTTAATGTGTGGCCTGTTAGGTGGCCCCACCAGGCACTATCTACAGTATCAACATTAATACAATACATTGTAGCAATAAGGATTTTGTAATATGTGATAACTTGTTTATGCCTCTGCTGGAGAGTTAATAATTCAGTTAATTGCACAATGCTAATATCATTGTAATGTTGTGTTTACAAGTTTGTGTTCTTAGGAGTGTTGGTGCATGTATATAATGGTGCTCATATAGTCACACACTGCCGGGGATGTAATTATGAACAGTCTTTCATATACTTTAGCTCACCGGGCCTATAGATCCCAGTGAGCTTATGGTGTGTCATGTTGATTAAGCTAAGATCTGTTACGCTAGAATCATCAACTGTCAGTGGCCATAGACTTGTTCATGTTTGTAAAACACGCCTCACCTTTTGAGAAAAGCATTAATGTAGACCCTATCCTATGAATGTTTATCAGTCCTCTCCATTGAAACCACAAGCTTCAAAGAACTGAAAGAGGTACTGATACAGACTATGACAGCAATATGTAATGATGGCATTTAAATGTATAGATCCTGTACGCAGAATAACAAATTTATATTGTTTCAAATTAATATGATGATGACTGTTACAAGGAGGAAGTATATGGTAGGCATCCATCTGTATCAATTATGTATGTTATGGTGTATGTTTTTGTAAACATTGATACCTCTTGAAATTAAGGTGGAAATTATTCCTTGAAGTGACAGTGTGAGAAATATTAGAATACACTTAAACAATATAGAAATAATTCACATAATGATTTGAAATATACCCACAGATTAAATCTTGAACTAGAAACTGCATATTGCATAATTTGCCCAGTTCTGGGAAACGGACAGATTGAGACTGTGTATTGCGTGTGTTACCTTAATATCATTCTGCGTCGCTGAACACTGCAGCTTTTCGTGCTATATAATCACGGTTTATATCATGCATATATGTTTCTTTATCCCACATTCATTTTCAGCTTTGACTCCTATTAAATGCTTATGTGATGTTAAATGTGTTGAAACTAACATTGTCTTATGTACAACAATGTTAAGAGTTGTCTTTCCTTTTCAGGAGCTTGAAAAGTCCATCGTTGTCAGACCCCTCATCGATAACGAGACACTGAATGCAAGCCTACGGGTATGTTTCACGTTATGATTGGTGACTTGTGGTAACAAGTGTTGGCTTGTGTTAACACTGAAGCCTTGAACCAGTAGTCTAGGACATTACACTTCACGGAGTCTCATCATTGATGGGTAATAATGATCGGGGCTCACTCACTCACTCGCTCATGACATTAGATAATTGTTGATAATGGCTATGAACAACCATGATTTGGCTAGCTTGGAGTTCCTGTTAAAGATTTTCATTGATTTCCTTTAATCACAAGAAGTGTTGTGTAATATTGGTTCTGTCTGCTTGGTTCGGTCAGGCGGCTCTAGGCGAGGCCAGCATGGCCATGTTGACTGCTGCTCACAACCAGATGACAGGACAAGAGAGCGGAGGAGGACCTGTCCATGAAGAGCCTCAGTAACAGTCAAGATGGCTGCTCCCCACCCTCTCGGTGAGTCGTCCCAAAGAATGCTGGGATATGTGTTGTCAGTTGAGGGGCCCCATTTCACAAGGCAATTGTAGCACTAACCCCCATACTTACGACAGTCGTTCTGCTACAATTGCATTGTGAAATGGGCCCCAGTTTGTGACGATCCTGCCATGGTAATTCCTTTTTCCTTAAAATTGAGTTTTAGACCAGAGCATTCTAATAAACTATATGGTCACATTTTTCGCCTATTTGGTAAGAGACCATCAAAGCTGACATGAATATGTTTGGCTGTCGGATATCCTAGTGGATCATGTATTCAAATTTATGCATACTGTGTTGTTATCTCCCTTTGTTTCATTCTTCACGGAGGAGCAGAGTCAGCTAATAATCTCACCCTGTTGTTATCTCCCTTTGTTTCATTCTTCATGGAGGAGCAGAGTTAGCTAATAATCTCACCCTGTTGTTATCTCCCTTTGTTTCATTCTTCACGGAGGAGCAGAGTCAGCTAATAATCTCACCCTGTTGTTATATCCCTTTGTTTCATTCTTCACGGAGGAGGAGAGTTAGCTAATAATCTCACCCTGTTGTTATCTCCTTTGTTTCATTCTTCACAGAGGAGCAGAGTCAGCTAATAATCTCACCCTGTTGTTATATCCCTTTGTTTCATTCTTCACGGAGGAGGAGAGTCAGCTAATAATCTCACCCTGTTGTTATATTCCTTTGTTTCATTCTTCACGGAGGAGGAGCGTTAGCTAATAATCTCACCCTGTTGTTATCTCCCTTTGTTTCATTCTCCAGGGAGGAGGAGATGATGATGTTGATCAAGCAGGAGCCGTCAGCCGAGGAGGAAGAGGAAGCTGCCCTGAAGCGAAACCAAACAGGTCTGGAGGAGGAGGCATCAGGGAACTTCCTGCCCACTGAGAGTGCTCCAGGAGCTGAGGGCATGGAGGAGCAGCAAGTTGGCGAGGAGCCATCTCAGGCTCTTGTCATGGCTGACGTTGAGGATGATCAGGCCGCCCCGGAGGACATGAGCATGGAGGACCAGCCTGAGGCTCTTGGAACAAGCATGGTGGTTGATACCGAAGCTGAAGGTGCTGCTCTGGCAAACGGAGCAGATGCCAGTGAGGCAGAAGCTGACTTGGATGAGGACCTAGAGATGCTTGCTCTCCGACGCATGCAACAGGAAGCTAGCAAGATGGTTGCTGCTGCCAACACACATTCCACAGATTGAATCTCAAACACAGCACAGCTGAACTGGGGGTCCTGTCCAGGGGTGCCTCATCACATGGAATCAATAGACATGAATAGCTTGCAGGGTAGAGGACAATCTACAAGACATTTTGCATATTTTTAAAATTGTATGTACTGGTATATCATTGGTGAAATGGGCATGTTATAACATGTAATAACGTCCCACGGTGACTTCAAGTGATATTCCAGATACATCAGATAGACGGTTGCCTTCAGGAAGTACTAACAAACAAATCTCTTGTTCAAAACAGATGGTATATATGTGTGTATTTATTGTTCAGGTTAATGCATTAGCTCTGATGCATGTAGATTAAGGATTGAAAGAGACAATTGATCTGCAAGTAGGACGTCCTGGCCGGAAGTGGTTGACAGAAAGTGTCAATATCTTGTCCTGTAGGCAGTTTGTGACAGTTTATGACGGCTTCTCGCTCACTTGTTGCGGGTGGCATGGTAGCCTAGCTATCCAGTAGGAGTGTCCGTCTGTGTGTATGTCTGTCTGTACGTCCAGCTTACTTACAGTGGCAGTGTTTAGCGAGGTCTTCATCGGCCATTACGATCTCAGCCGATGTCCAGTTGTCTCAGTGTTACTGTGTATATAGTTATAGAGGATGGTTGCCATGGATACTCATGATGGTAGGGAGAATTTAGTGTATGTAATACACCAGGCTGATAGTCATGAGTATGTGTTGTATTTTGTGAGAAAAATAATCAAAATCATTTTGTAGTGAACTTGAATTGGTGCAAGGTTTTGAAGGTTTGATTTTGAGAGATTTTCAATACCAGAATTGTATATGTGTAGCTAATACCAGAGTTTGTTGTCAAAATCTATACCTCTGGGAATGTTTTTTTTCTCCAAGTAGTGCATATTGCTGTGAAAAGTGTGCAATAAATAATAAGTTCAACAATTGGGCACAATATTTTTGATCTCAGATCTATAGATTGTTAATAATGTATTTTGATAGAGTATGATATAACACATGTCCCTATTGGTTTTGATATTTGATTTAGTATACTTATTGATGAGCAATGTTTAAGGTACATGTCCCAGGTTTCTGAAAGACTGAAGTAAATGGTGTTATACAGTTACCCTTGTCACCATGGCAACAGTGTGTCAGGGCAACATGGCAGAATTTTTAGCAATCTGATATTTATTGATTTGATATGACATATCCTTGTAGATTTCTTGATCAAGCTTGATATGAGTCTGAAAAACCCCAGTTCACTTATATCTTTTGTGTTGTGAACATCCATGACAGTGTGTGAAAAAATGGACATGTACCTTTGACAGTAATATACTATTGGTTGGCACTGCACACCTTCTGCTAGTGCGGCGCTGTCCGTATCACATCTTGGCAGCTCAGGGGTAGGCTAGAGATGCTTGCTATCACACAGAATATTATATTGTAATAACATAAGGTTGGAACATGAAAGGTTATAACATGAGATGACAAAAACTTGGTTGGACAAAAAACATCATGCAAACTGGTTATAAGTTAAGGGGAAAACATGGCACGGTCAGAAGTAATATAAATATTACATTGTATGTAATTAGATGAATATTACATGGTAATAACATTAATATAACATTGCATCTAGTGATATGAATATTAGATGCTAAGAAATAGTATCATATCACATAACAGGCAATAACATGAATATCACATGTTGGATAATCACATGAATATTTACAGTTATGTAATGACATGTCATGATTATATTATTTCACAGGATATGTAAATGAAGCATGGTATGGTATGTTATGTTGACAAAAATGTCAAACTAAGTGCTTTTGGGGTTCAATGTTTGAAGTAGGAATATTTTATCATGTCCCCACACTTTGGTGAATTATGGTGGCATTACTAAGTTTCTGTGTAATAGCAAGCCTCTGCTAGATACACAATGTGTTGATTATAGTAATCTACACTTTATATGTCCACAATCAAGGTAGATCTAAAGCTGATGGCTATAGAACTGTCAGTCAGTTAACTATCAACATAGTGTACTAAATACTTTTAGAAGCTGGAAACCTGACATTTCTAGCATCTTTGTTGCATATTGAATGGTATCTAGTATCTTGACCTTGCATAAACAATGACTCTGCTGATTTTTGTGAGAGCCATACTTTGCTTGATGTATGTACATAATATCAGCAGTTAAGATGCTTAGCTGTAGAATGGCACAATAGACTGATGGCATGAGATACCACAGTGAGAATCAAAATCAGACATTGTTCTGTGGTGAATAGTTTCCACTGAGTAGTCTGTGAGATGTACAAAGTTTGTAATATTCAAAGGACAACCCACTGAATGGAAAACTTGGCCTGAATTAGAATTCCTAATATAGGCATGATTGCTGTGAGTCCTTTGAAGTAATAGAGTTAATTGCTGTAAGTAATTAAGTGTTGGATTAGCGTAAATTGATGTGTATAAGATTGAGTACGAAAGAGGATAGCAAACGTTTTGTCCTGAACTGATAGTTATGTCAGCTTATGTTCTCCAGGGCCTTGCATTTAGGTATTGTGGAAACCCCCGACGGGGTTTCAATGTGTGTCATGTATATGCTACAAGTTGTCTTTTTGTCGTCATCAAAAACTATTTCTTTTCATTCTTATTTATTTTGAAAACTCTACCCTTAAACTGTTTTCCTGTAACAAATTTTGATGTAAACCATTGCTTGTTGAGTTTGTGTTGAAAAGGGAGTTATTGTGTACTATCTATAATTCACTTGTTTTAATTAATATCATTCCAGAGATAATTCTGCCGATGTATCACAACTTATTCTGTTTTGTCATGAATTTCTGTTCAAGTAACACTGGAAATTTGGGAAATTTTTCAGATTTATTTTGGTTTCAGAATTGTTGATTAAATTGTTCTTGATGACGAATGACAACTGTGAGAGATTTATTATATAAATTAGCCTAGTTCATGTTACTGAGAAAAGCAATGTTGATGGTTGTTTTGTCATAACTCAACCAGACTTTTATAGGACAATACATTCGTAAATCAAAGATGTCTTCCTGAATTTGTTGACATGTTCCAAGCGTTGTGGTAATTCACTCTTATCAGGAATCAAAAGTGCATAATCCTAAGTGTAGTTTTTTGTAATTAATGTTGATTATTTTGTTTAGTCTAGAAACAGAAGGAGCTTTGGGGTACCATGTATTTATGTGTCAACTTACTGTACCGTTTTTGTCAGTGCTTTTAGGAGTTGCTTTAGAGTTGTCATGGTAACAACACTTTGGTTCTAGGTCACATCATTTGATTAAAAAGTTGAATTGTGTCATGCCGAAAATATTACAAATATTTTGGACTTATCTTGTTCTCATAGAGAACATTTTGTGCCAAAATTCAATCAAGATATACTAACTCCTTAGTAATATTGTCTTAAAGTAGTAACAGAAAATAACTCCTGTTTAGTAAATATTTGACTGTGTTTCATCTTTTGTAAGATTAAGATCTTTTTGTAGGTTATGAAACAAGTGTGTTTTTTACGATTACTGTCGCTGCTACAGGGACGTGTTTTGACTGGATTTTGTTTGTTTTGCCTACTAACGTGGATCTGCTTCCATCAAATCTTTTGCCCACTTATGTTGAACTGTTTGTGTGCATTTTGAGTGCATATTGTCCCATTAACAGTTTCTTTTATCCCAGAATCTCATGGGTTCAGTCAAGTGCCGGTGTTATAATGTATATCATTTTGTGTTTACTTCACAATATAAACAATAAGCCACTTTAGGCATGTTTTTGTTTGGTTGGATTATGTTTGT